TTACAATCTGTATAATTGTGTTCATAAAAATGATTGCAAAATATTGCTCGAGTTGATTGGGATCGTGAATATCTATTGATTATACGAAGAAATTATAACAGACTGTAGCGGACATTTGTCATGTCGACATTTGTAATTATGATGGATTGAGATATTGTATATCATTTTATTATATGCATATTTGATTATGCATGTAATAGATTTTTGTTCCACACATAGATTTTCCTTTTGTAACACAGTTCTATAAATATTAAAACGAAAGCTTATCAATTATACACCAATCAATATCATGAAAAAATTGTGCTTATATATATATATATATATATATATATATATATATATATATATGTCTGTCATGTAGAACAGGAAGCGAAATTGTATTACTTACGATATTTATTATTGTAAATCATTTCTTTTATACTTGAAGTCTGGAGTACAATAGATAAAAATGTATAAAAATTTACAATTATAAATTCGTTATTTACATATATTGCAAGGCATTTTTTTATTACACGATAGAACGTCTTATGGAATGTCACCGATATAGAAAAACATCGTATGTCAAATTCTAGATTTAGAAGTATTTCATGTAAATATATTATATTCTCAATGCTTCATATACAGGGTGGATCACTATAGTCACAGGCTAATATTGCTGAAACTGAACGAGATGTACAATTGTTATTTTCCAGCGACGTTTGGTCGATGTTCGGTATCAAAGCGGGCATTGCGTGATGAAATTAATTTTCCTCGTCCGCTTCGATGCCAAATAGTCTGAAAAATAAGAATTGCACATCTCGTTCAGTTTCAGCAATATAGCCTGTAACACCTTTAGTGATTCACCCTGTATGCATACCTACATATTTATAACAAACTTATATTCACTCCTACATACAACATTAAAATAATATAAATTTTTGTTTTTCCAAGATTTTCTTTAAACCATCTCGTGCAAAAAGACACGTTGAATAACGTGTCTTTTTGCGCGAGATTGTTTTTTAAATACATGATCAATTTGAAAACTTTTCTGCTTATAAAAACTTAATAATATAACATAATCTTACAATGTGCCGTTTTATCTAATTAGGTGTATAGAGAATGCGATTTTAGGATACTCAGAGAAATCATGGTTTCTTATTCAATTCAATTACCTAATCGATTAATTATACCTTTTTACATAAATGCTCCAGACAGGTGCATTTTAACACATATCTGTCCTACTTCTCGTAGGTGGAGCGTTAAGCCCACCGGTATCACCGGACTCGAGTTGCTTTAGGAGCCGAAATAATGCGGCTGCCTCCCTGATGCGGCTGAATTCAACACAGAACGCTTGGATCTCGATAAACAATTCTTGCACGTTTATGATCTTGTTCCTTATCAAGGACTGCAGAAACACACAGACAAGTCGCACCAGTCGATTTTGCATGTAACGGTCCTTGATGGTCTCGCAAGTGGATATACAATTGCTGATATACAAATGTACAAATTCCGTCGGCAGGTCCACCGTGGTGGTCAATCTGTTGACGACCTCCATGGAGTGTAGGGACATCTCCATGTTCACCAGCACACTGAAGTATTCCGTGATCTGGCTGGATTGCATTAGCTTCAGTAAAACCTCAATGGCGATTAAAGGATTATTCTCAACCAGGTCCGGTAACTTGGGGGGCGTGAGTCCGATGTGATAAACGAGCTTCGGATCCTTGTCCAATTCGCTGATCAAATATTGCTGCTGCGTCAGCGTTAATACGTTCTTGAAGGCTTTGCCCATGAGTTTACGTGCCTCGGCGCTGGCGCAGTTCGACACGCACATACTGGTGTCGTACTCGATCGTGAACTGAGTCGGCTCCGTGACGTGGAACCAGGCTATCTCGTTGATGCCGTGATAAATCGGCGGCACGAGTCTCAGGAACTCAGGATGATAGCTCTGACTGCACAGGGGCGGATCGCCGATGGTTAGGTTCTCCAGGATACTCTGCACAGACGCCACGTCGTATTCCGTCCCTTTGGAGTGATCCATGTCGGGCAGGATTATAGGATTTCCGCATTTACTTACGGACGGCAGCTCGGACTGGTGTTCCGCCAGCTGCAGCTGCAAGTTGGTCAGATCGATGGACGGCACGGCGGCGAACGAGAACTCGTCCACGATCTGGCGCGGCGTTTTCTTCATTACGTCCTTCTGATTGTATCCCATCAAACTGACGAGCAGGTTCCTCTCACAATTCGACAGAAACGGTATGTGACCGGTGTGGCCGGTTGGTTTCGAGCTACCGTTGTTGGTGTCCTCCTGCGACTTGAGCACCTGTACGAATACAGAGGCGAAAGGCGTGGAAGCCAACGGCTCGCCGCGGTACAGGTCGAACAGCAACGTCAACGCCACGACACGTTGCACGTGCTTGGGCAGCAGGTCGACTTGCTGCAAGTGCAGCAGAAGAATCGTTCCGACCTTGAAGCGCTGCTCCTTAGGGAAGGTCTGATGCAGCTGATTGCCGAGGCTCTCCAAGCTGGTGTCCAGGTTCTCCTCTTTGAGGATGTCCAGCAGCTTCACGATGTCCTTCGGATCGAGTGCCATCCTCGTTTAAGCGGCGAACGAAATACCTGCGACGATACGCCTCTTCGCCGACGAGACCCTACGCATCTGCTTCGTGTCGTCATATACGTAATGTCATGTATGTAAATATATAAAGCGGGAGCTCGCTTTCACACGTGGAAATATCACGCGTGTTCGCGACCACGAAGAGTCCGCTGGCGGAGGCTTGATGTTGACCCTCCTTATTTCAGAACAATGTTCCAAAAATAGCCCCGAACCAGATCACGGGAACCGTTTTACAGCTGACCGTTTGGCCCAGCTGTAAACGCGTGAACCTTGATGTGGACACCGTAGACTTGGAGTTTTCCATCTGCTTCCTTTTTCGCTACGGCAGTTTTTGTTTGTTTACTTGACCAGCACCTTCTGCATCTGAACGCAGAAAGTGCAAGTAGAAGGAACAGACGCGTCTGCTATACCACCATAGGCATAAGAATATATATAGACGTACGTACAGAGAGAAAGTTTTGGCTGTACCCGAATCCTGTCGGTATGTGCACGTTTTTGTGGTTCTCTTCCGTGCTATGTCTACACGATTTTTTTATTCTCTTTGGAAATAAAACCAAAAAATCGTAAATCTAACGGAAGAGAACCAAAAAAATCGTGAACATAACATATATATATAAAAGAGAACCCCAAAATCGTTGACATTACTACAAAATAGTGGACATAACATGGAAGAGAACCACAAAAACGTGCACATACCGACAGGATTCTGGTATGTACAACCAAAACGCATAGAGATATAAAGCCCGGTGTCCACGATGCAAGAACTGTGTCCAAGTTTCGGTTTAAGCCAATGAAACTGCTACTTTTCTGTAAGAGCTGCAAGTTGATTGGCTTAAATCGAAACTTGGACACAGTTCTTGCATCGTGGACACCGTACTT